TACCTACCTATTTACCTAACCTCATAAATAGGTATAGGTAAAATGCTTAATCTGTAATATAGTTGACTACACGTAAGTAAGATTATAATAATTGTACATTAATTGTATTTAGCTAATTATAATGTTCAATTTCGTATGTTGGGKATTATTATTTATTATCATTATTTTATAATTTTATATTGTAGGTACTATAGTGCTCTTGATATGAGTATGAAAGTCAATATTACCTATTTCTAGTATACTTAAAAAACTGATAAATCGGTACAAATTTATTTGCTTCTATACAATATCAATACTAGTTAAAAATTGTTTAACGCTGTGTTGGGAATTTATTATTTTTTTATTTGGTTTCTACAATTCATAATTTCCCAACATTAGCTAAATCATTGTACCTATATTTAATTTTTAGTAAGGATATAAAGACTAATAGGAGGAAGCTTCACCCATATGTTAACTAAGAAGGTTGTTAAAGGTTAAAAGGTCGTTAACACAAACACTAAACACAAACACTAACCTGTTTTGCGTGGGAAAAAATCGAGAAATCCAGAGTCATAACTAAGAAACATAATTTTCATCACACTCTGATGTGGAACTCTGGCTGTGAAATATTATTTTTTATTTTTTTCGATATCGGAACTAAGAAAAAAGTTCGTCAAGTTAGAAAAACACAAAAATAATGGATTTTGGAACAATATATTTTTTTTTCGTATAAATGATATYAAAATAATAAAAACGATTTTTCAAAAATAATCTCCTCAACTTATTATATAATAACTTGGAGTCTTAACCATTCCTACCACCAAAATGGTTCTTGCTCAATATAGTTTTTTCTATTTTCTATGATGTACATTTGTAAAATAGAAACAACATAATATTCATGTGTAACGTCCTAATAAGCTACATAACTTGAAGCTAATAATAATAATAATAGTAATAAATTATGTATAAATGTGGGCAGTTTGTAAAATTTATCATATCGTTATAGCTTAACATAGTCTGTGCTTCTAGCGCAAAGAGATTCCTAACGAAGTCAAGGAATTTGATGTATAAACCAGCTATTTGTAGGTTTGTCATACGTGTATTTTTTTTATTTAAGATGATTATAACATAAATTAAAATAAACAAAAACAAAAAATACAAGCTAATACAAAACTAGATTCTTATTGCTAACAACTATATTTTTGGAAATTTGTATAAATCGGAGAAGTTTTTATATTGAGCCGATGAGGTATTTGAGAACATTCAATTA